GCGAAATGGTGCGGGGTCAATAAAATTGATTTGGCTTGAGCTTGAGGGCTCGAAAGTCGAGGTAGATTCATCGAAAAAGGTTCAGTCTGAACATGGAAGAGCTAGCATATTGACGCATGTGAGAAGTACATGTTATGTGCAAGAAATATAGATGAAAACGAATAAAATCGCTAAATGAGAAATCTAAAGCGCGTGAAAATGGGGTAGTTTGTAAGCTCCTTTGGCTCAGTTGGTAGAGCGTCAGTCTCATAATCTGAAGGCCGCCAGTTCGATCCTGGCAGGGAGCATTTCTTTTGCATTTTTCCGATATTTATTGCCCCATGCAGACAAGCAAAAACACATCAGGACGCGACGAATTTCCACTTCGCGACACCAGAATTTTTTGCGTGATCAATCCATGCGTGTATTCCTCGATATCGTGCTCACATGGCCACCAATATGTATTCCCCATATTAAAAAAGAAAAGACGCATGTATTGCTCGCGTTGAATATCTAGATGGATTAGAATCAAACAGCAATTGTCGGTGAGCTCCAAAACAAATACTTGCAGGCCTTTGATAGCCACGCAAGCTCTTCGCCAAAATGCCAAAAAATCGAGTTTTGGAGTATTTTGTCAAGATCTCCCCCAAACGTCATTATTTTCCAACTTTTGATAGCATGTCTAGAGTCCCCGTGAAATTTTACCATTAGGCCGTTTTCTCGCGTCTCGAGTCGCCAGCGTCGCGGCACACGACCATTTTACCTCCCAAAACGCATATTTCCGAAAAGTGATTTAATTCGTAAGACATTCATAACTCCGTCATAACATCGAAAGACATGCTCGTCCCAGTGTATAATTGCACATTTTAGTAGTGTTTCGCAGCGAAATGGTGCGGGGTCAATAAAATTGATTTGGCTTGAGCTTGAGGCTCGAAAGTCGAGGTAGATCATCGAAAAAGGATCAGTCTGAACATGGAAAGAGCTAGCATATTGACGCATGTGAGAAGTACATGTATGTGCAAGAAATATAGATGAAAACGAATAAAATCGCTAAATGAGAAATCTAAAGCGCGTGAAAATGGGGTAGTTTGTAAGCTCCTTTGGCTCAGTTGGTAGAGCGTCAGTCTCATAATCTGAAGGCCGCCAGTTCGATCCTGGCAGGGAGCATTTCTTTTGCATTTTTCCGATATTTATTGCCCCATGCAGACAAGCAAAAACACATCAGGACGCGACGAATTTCCACTTCGCGACACCAGAATTTTTTGCGTGATCAATCCATGCGTGTATTCCTCGATATCGTGCTCACATGGCCACCAATATGTATTCCCCATATTAAAAAAGAAAAGACGCATGTATTGCTCGCGTTGAATATCTAGATGGATTAGAATCAAACAGCAATTGTCGGTGAGCTCCAAAACAAATACTTGCAGGCCTTTGATAGCCACGCAAGCTCTTCGCCAAAATGCCAAAAAATCGAGTTTTGGAGTATTTTTGTCAAGATCTCCCCCAAACGTCATTATTTTCCAACTTTTGATAGCATGTCTA